CCCTCGGCGGGGGCGCCGCCGCGCTTCCCAAGCGGCGCACTATCCAGTGCGCCACCGGGCCGGCCCGAGATCAATTTTTTTCGATGGTGACCTGGGTGCCTTCACACCTTAGCTATATATGGCATTATGTGATATATTGATCCAAAAAGGTTTTTGTTGGGTTTTTTTTTTTTTTGGTTTTTTTGGCTACCTATTTATGCTCATAGCTGTTAAGAATATAAAACAAAATTCAAGAAAAACTTCCCTCAAGTTGCTTATAATCAAATTGGGAAGGTGAGACCTATTGTTTAAAACTAATCAGCACTACTTTCTGACTTCACCTATAGACCACATTCTTCCTCCTCATCTAAAAGAATTTCTTCAACACCCATGCACATGTGATGGTGCAGGTGCACTGGGCTAATTACAAACCATTTGAAAATACTGTCAGCAGGTACATACTGGTTACCCAAGAGTAGAAGAGACAAGTTGGTCATACACTTACCCTACTGTGCTGAGTGTCTGAGCTCCATAAATACGGGCATGCTCCAGCACAGAAGTTGGCATTGTACCCTTTCGGCTCATGTATCCATTTCCACCCAAGATCTCTCTTGAAATCAATGTAAAGTGGACGTAGGCAGCAATTATCCTGCACATTTCTGTTAAAAGAAAGAGCAATGGAGATTTTAAAGCTAATTTCCCCTCCCCCCACCTTACACCAAATGAGAAACATGATTCATTTACTTAGTCAACAAACATCTAATGAGCAAATATCATGAGCCAGACTTTAATAGTTACACTGCAATCTCAAGTGGCTTTCATGACAGGGTGTTATGGTGATTCATGGGACTTTTCCCTTATGAGTTCTATCCCCCCATCCCTTGTCTATGATCTAGAAAGCCAAACCTGTACCCTCAAATGACTAGATAGAAGCAGAGAGGTGGCTGGAAGAAGCCAATCTCTTTCCAGCCAACACTGGGAAATCTTGCCATTTGGTTCTACCACCATTTCAAACACAAAACGAATAAAGTACAATGGCTATTTTTAAAGAACCATCTATGGTATTTTCCTGTGAGAATAGATCCTTTATTTCACTGTGTGTTCCTCGACCTAGGAATGAACCAGGGATCAAGAGACATGCTAATTACCCTGATTTGATCATCACACATTGTGTACACATGCATTGAAACTGAAATTCAACTCTATACCCTATACACATATACAACTACCCAGTATACATATGTACCCTATGCACATATACAACTCTGTGTACACATACAAATATGTATAATTAGCATATTTCAATGAAAAAAAAAAAGACTGCGACATGAAGTCTTGCTTAGTGCAACCACTGGCTGTAGCAACCAAAACCTGCTGCTTTGCTTGTGACCTCTGGCATTTTGAGCACTTTATCAGTGAGGACCCTGCTTTGCTCTATATTTCTCAAAACAAACAGCGAGCTCTCCTCTTACCAAACTTGATAAGAAACCACAGAGAATTCGCACTCTCCCTTCAAGAACTCAGGTGGGCGTGGGAAATTAAGTCTTCCTGCCCCATGCCCTCGCTTCTCTCACACCCTGTAGTAAACACATGACAAAGAGCTTCTGCTGCCCCACTGGTCACTGTGACAGAGGCATCACCACGGGTACTCTGAAGAGACAGCGAAGGCTTCATACAGACGCTGGGTCCTCCAAAATTAAAGAGTTGCCATCCCACACCTCAAATAAACTTATATTTGCTTTGGGAAGCAGAGAGGTCATTTTCTTCTTCTGCGGCAAAGCACTTCAGAGGGATCTGGGGAAAAACCTAGGAGGCTAGTTTTCTCTCTTCACTTTGGGTTCCTCACTGTAAGCCTCTGGGAGGAAGATGCTATGAGATACAAGGGATAGAAGAGCTGTCCTGGGGCCGGCCCGGTGGCGCACTGGGTAGTGCGCCGCTTGGGAAGCGTGGCAGCGCTCCCGTCCGAGGGTTCGGATCCCACATACAGACCGGCTCCCGCTCACTGGCTGAGCGAGGCGCAGGAGCAACACCGAGGGTTGCAATCCCGTTGCCGGTCCCCGGTCCGGTACGGGGGCAACACTGAGGGTTGCGATCTGTTGCCGGACACGGAAAAAAGACAAAAGACCAAAAAAAAAAAGAAGAGCTGTCCTGTTCTATACCTGGCCTTAAGCAATGCATTCAGTTCAGGTCACTATGCAATATTAGAAAGGGCAAAGGCAGTACAAGAGTTAACAGATATAATTACTAGTTTTAGTTTTATTTCCTTTACCTAAAGCAATAGGCCGCATCCAAAGCACGCTTCTTCCGCCGGTTGGACTGTTGTGACTCAAGTCTGTAGGAGGGCAATAACATTAGCAGGAGATGTGGGGTCTTCCCACTGGTTTTTTTCCTAGTGGACTTTATAGTTTTCTGATCACCACTGGTATATGTAGAGGTGCCATCAATACCTTGAAAAAATGCATTTGGGTAATAAACATTTAGCTTCACCTTCATCAAATATAATCAGCCATATTTTTTCCTTTGTATATTGTTACAAATAGCAGCAATGACCACTATGGCAGCACCAGCTGGCAACAGTCACTCCCCATGGAAATAGAGAGGGCACCACAGGACTACCACAGGTGACAATGAACACTTCTACATGAGGCGCTTGTGAGAAGGCCGTTGAGTGTCAAAGGCAGAGCTGTTGGTTACGAAATTCACTACAGAAGTCTTTAACCTGCCGTCCAAGGGCGACCTAGGCAGTTTATTTTAGTTGATCCTTAGTTCAGGCTGTGTTCAAACCCTCAACAACTGCACACAGCAGTACAACATGCCTTGTCACTCGCTGGTCCGCATTCTTCCTACGACCACTAAACTCAAAAGACTTTCCTAGTGAATGTAAACTGCAACTTAGCTAAATAGCAGTGAATTAGGTTCCAGTGAAACAGAAGTCGCCCTTACCTAATGCTGTCTTGGGGAGCTGTGAAGAAAGGGCTTTTTCATTTATTTTATGGCATCCCCAACACTTTCCTGATTCCATCCAAGATTTAGAACCTGGACTCCCCAAATCGTGCTCAAGAGACTACCAGTTTAAGCATTTAATCTCTGCACTCTAGAGAATCATGACTAGGTTAGAAACTGAAATAAATCTCTAGACCTCTGGGAGTATTTTCCATGAGCAAGGGTTGCGGTAGCCTTCTAAAAGTGGATGGAGGTCCTGGGTGGTGCCAGCAGGGAAGGGAAATCAGCTCCCTGACCTGGCGGTGGGGCAATGTCGCACCAGCACGTGGGTGCGGACTTCCCTCTCTCCTCTCATTGTCCAACAACCCGCTATCTAATACACAAAGTGACTTGAACCCTTGGGGTTTCCTCATTCTCCCTGACTTTTGGCTAATTTGCTCAAAGGTGAGCATGAGGAAAACGAAAAGCTGGTTATGTGTTTATAAACTTATAGAAGTCTGATGAGGAAGCCACGTGAAATGCTGGGTGCAGTCTAGAAAAGAGAATTGTTCAGATACATGGAAGGTTACTTAGAGAAGCCGTGGCCTGAAGTGACTTCTCTCTCCTGTGAAATAGTGTTGATTTCTGACATTTGGTTAAGGGGATTATCAATAGATCTCCTTAAATGCATGCTATCTTTTTCTATAATACCAGTATAGATGGAGAGTTGGCTTGCTTAAACAATGAATAAAGGGCTTAACTGACTATTTAATAGTTTAAAGGGTCAATGGGTCAGTCAGTCAGTACTGACCAAGTCATCACCGGGCATCAGGCAGTGTACTCTGGGGACCAATACATTTCTTCCAAGCCCTCTGCCTTCATATATCTTTCTCCAACCAGTCTGTTGCCCAAACAAATGAAACTCCCCAAGCCTCACCAAACAATCCCATCTTCACATGCAAATTGACTTTATCTACCATGAAATTATCAACACAGGCCCTTCCCTCCCCCACCTCATATGATCAAGTTTCAGTTACCTGCAAATCTTGCTTCTAGTTCTTCACTTTTATTTGGGATGATGTAATTATTCGATGGTACAAAAGTGCAGCAGGGACAGTGTAAACTTATTTTAAATCCCAGGTTCCTGTCTGGAAAACATTAAGTCAAGGAGGTCATGTGTGTGTGTGTATGTCTATGCTCTTTAATCAGCAATCAATTTACAATAGTGTCTGGCTACTAAACATCAAGGGAGGAAAGGAGAGGGTGGTTCGTACCTTTATGGTGAAGCCATTCGTGAACAGCATCGGTTACATCAAAGGAGAGCCATTCACCTTCTGCTCTCGTTTTCACAACTTTGCTGTCGATGTAGCGCTGGGTTGGAGATGTTAAGTCTTTGGACTTGAGAATCTAGAGGGGGAAGGAGCGAGAGCAAAAGCTCAGTTGGCACACTGACAGCATGACTAAACCAAAACCATTAACAGTATCCCAACTCATCTAAATTTAGTTCCACTCCAGTGTATCCACGTATTGTTGTCTCAATAGCATGGCCACATGCATAAAAACATAACACCAGGCCATTTGCCATGAAAAACAGAGCTACTAAATCAGCTGCATGTTATGATAAAGGTGACAGGCACCATAAAGCCAAGTATCTAAAAGAAAGTGACAGTAATTATTTTACTTTGCTGACATAAGTTTTGCAGGATTTCAGCCATAAATTCTATGCTATTAAGTTAATGGTTTTGTTATTCTGCTTCCCTATTTATTTAATTTGGGGAGCTGGGGTACAAGGAGGGACAGGAAGAGAGATCCAGTCCAAAGGACCCATGCTCACCCTCTGAAGGCCCTGAATTACATAAATTTTCTTCTAATAAAGAAAGGTCCTAACCTTGGTTCCTAAATTCACTGGCATTAAAATATGTGTCCTGCCTCAGCTTTTCAGGTAAGTCTCTAGCAGGGATTTTTACTCTCATTGTGACTTGTTATGATTTATAAAGATAATCCATATCCCACAGACTAAGAATGAATTTGGGCAGGAGCAGTCTGGCACAGTGTGTAGATGAGGGTCTGAAAGCAAGTCATCCTGAACACTGAGGCTTTAGAAAGATGCATTTATTTCACATAGGAGCAACTGCAGTATATTCTTGGGTTTCTATAGGAAGTGAACATTTTAGGTGGTTTGTAAAAATCCTGTCTTGAAATGATACTGTTTTATAAACCAAACCATGATCCTAAGTCTTTTAGAGCTATAGTAAATCCCTACCCAAACCCTGTATCCTGCTGTTTCTCTGTCCTTAGGAGCTCAGGCCCTACCATTTTATGCTACCCTTAGACAGTGAGTCTAACTCTTCTGTGGTCATCTCATCAGTATCTGTTTGGTATCTCCAACAATTTTATAAGCTTCCCCAGGTCAAGGATCATGGCTTCAATCTGATATCACTTCAAAGCACAGCACTCAGCTGAATCAATGTCTATTAAATGACTACCGGGATATCTAAAAGATTTATTAACTCCCTTTAAAACTTGTAAAACAAGAGTCCATAATCTTCCCACTGATTTTAAAATGTGCTTCCATATGTGTACAGGATTTGTGTCAGGTCATTTGGCAACAAATGCTTCCTGAAATAATTGGCATTATAGTAGACTTTTTTTTTTTCTGGGT